GTTGTGAGACTATAGGACCAGGATATAAAACAGGCTAATAAATCTGAATATAGTAATAAAATTTTATCTATTAAACCCAAGGCGTTTTTTTAGTGATATCTTGAGTGTTTTTTTATAAACACAAATTCTTTAGCTGATCACAAAATATTTTCAACTAGAGGTAAATTAAAAAATTAATAATAACAATACTATTCTTGACATTTGTAATTGCTGTAAATGAAATGTAATTTCGTAACACAACCCTATCTGCCACTTATTTTTTAAAAAAAATTGTTTGATCGCAACTATTAGCTAATTATATAAAATTGAAAAAAATTTGGTTGGTGTGGAAATATCACAAATGGGGCGTGGTGTGGAAATTTTCGCGCCCTTGATTTTATCTTATTTATTTTATTTTTTTTTTAACAAGCGAGACTCTTAGTTTTTAATTGATAGTATTTACAGTTTTTTTTTTAAGATTACAGACTAATAAACCCATGGCCCAGGCGTCGCCCTTAATTTTATTACCTATATTTAAATCTACAAATATCTAATTGTTTTTTATTTAATTCCAAGACTTTAGAATTTAAATTTATATAATAGTATTTTCTCAAGATCTCAATTTTCCTCATTATAAATTAAGATTCTTTTATTATCTTTCTCATTCAATTATCTATCCATCAAAGTCAAAGTTCTTTTCATTAAAATCTTTAGGTAAATAATTTAAAAATTTTCTGACAACTCTATTAAAGCTCGTTTCCTCACTTTTAATCGATTTCGGGGACAGATATTGTAAATATTTATAATAGCTTTTTGTAGACCACATATGGTAGATGTATTGGTTAGAAAAATTATAATTATTTGATGCGTACGCCAAATCCAGGTGCTCGTCCATCCAAGTCGGCCAAAAAAATGCAGTTGCGTTTAAAACATGGATATCATTGCTATATACTTTTGACATATTGTAAGGTAACCGAATTGAATGACGGGACCAGTCACTATCGTCAAAATCCTTGTACCCTAGCATCCATCTAGTTAGAAAGGGAGCAAATGGCCTGCTGACGATTGCCGCATTACAAAGAGTTGATTGATTCGTTTTCTCAATGCCCATAGTAAAATCATAATAGAGAAGATCATCGAATGGCTGGAGGACAATTACATCAAGATCGAGATAAATGCCACCAAAGTCCCGTAACACTTCCATCCGTATAATATCTGACTTGTGTTGAATAATATTTACAGGGTTTCCAAAAATCTTTGTTACTATTCGTGTTTTCATAATACTTACTTTAGGCTTTATGAGCTGGTACCAATAGCTTTTTGGTTCGTGAATGCAATGGAAATATGTCTTTTCTGGCTTAATAGTCTCAATCGCTGAAGTAAAAGCGAGCCAATGAGTAAAATTAAAGGGCAAGCTTGCTGGATCTTCATTAAGATATACATAATGTAATATTTTTGGCACTTTTTGAGTTCGTTTTGGTGCTGTACAGTTACAGTCACTGTTACCTAAACCTGTTAGTAATGCATGTTGGAAGATGTTAATTTTAAAATGTTACGAATCATTTTGTTCAACTCTGAAATCCAGACAGGTCGCAATTAGCAATATATTTCACGCGGTAACGAATTATCGTAATTACGCGATTCGATTAAAGATTTGTAAATATAAAGTTTTTACTTTTAACAAAGATATTCTTTCGCGTTACATTGTTAGTAATAAATGCTGGGTAATTATTTTGAAAGTGAATCATAAGTAGTTATTATTATTAATGTTAATAATAATATTATTATTATTATAATAGTTGATTATTAATTAAATTAATGTTCGAAAATAATTACCCATATAACATAAATAACGGGAAATATCCCATTATCTGATTTTAAATTTAATGTTTCCGCTTCTGGGCCCCACATGAATCCAATACCAGTTCATTTCACCGACAATCAATCCATCGATAGTACGATTCGCAGACAAGTTTATTTCATCGACAGTACATTTCACCGACAAGTTTATTTCACCAACAAACTCATTTCACCGACACGTTTATTTTACCGACAGTTCAATTTTTATAAGTAACTATTTTTTATGGATAGGGTTCGGGTGAACTCTAGCACTATTCTTCTTCATGTTGGAATTAGTAGTTAAAGAAACTTGGATTTGAAGAATTTTTTCTTTTAAAATCCATACGTGAAGTCGTACTATCGGTGAAATAAACTTGTCGTGAATCGTACCATCAGTGAAATGTACTACCGGCGAATCATACTGTTGGTGAAATAAATTTGTCGGTGAATTGATTATCGGTAAACGATAAATGACCCATAGTCCGGATATGGTACGTTAAATTTAAAACCGGATAAGTTATTGACGCGTAACATTAAATAACGAATCAAGCAAGGTATATGAAATTCACACTAGGTTTTCGTGTGAGATGCGACTCTAATTGTAATCCCAATATATGCACTCTAAATGCACTTGCACTCGTAAGTGCTGGCCCAAATAAATTTTACCTAATAAATGCAAGTTTTTTTTATTAATCTCTAATAAAAGTTTGTCATATATAGTGCATTAGAGAAGTCTGACCGTATCTAAGTGATGCCAAGGGAAAATCAGGCTTCGGGCTTTCAAGTTCATTATTGATAATTTACCAGACTTAGCCTTATTAGAAACAATATGATTCGTACGCAAAATTCAATTATGTACCATATATGTCAAAAGTCACAACTGAGTTCGGAAAGCCCTATAAAAAAATTTTGTCGGCAATGTTCTAAAAATTTTTCGGAATGGAATCGATTTTCCGAACATATACTGATTTTATACAATGCTTATACCTAATGTTGTCAAACCAAAAGTTTCTTTTTTTACATAACGGTATAAAAATTGTACAAATCGTATCGGCATTCAGAAAATCGACTCCGTTCCGAACATTTTTTTGGACAATGCCTACAAACGTTTATATAGGGATTAGAGATGCCGTAGAATCGTCCCAATGAAGTCGAATGATAGTTGTCACATGGCTGTAACTTGCCGTAACTATAGTAAGTAATATAGTAAAGTTACGACATTATAGCCGTAACTTTACTTATTATTTACTATAGTTACGGCATGTGACAACTATCATTCAACTTCATTGGGACGATTCTACGGCATCACTAATAGGGATGCATGATATCTAGTTTCCCGTCGATTGTTAGTGATTTTTTATTATCAGCTGATTTTAAATATGTCAGGATAATTACCTATCTTGTGGTTTTGAATGTTGAAGATTTCAGAGTAGAACTTTCACATTTACAATTTATAATAAATTCTAATACCTTTATTTAAGTAATTTTCGTAGTGCGATTGTGAAGAAGCCAGCTCAATAATGTTATGGAAGTTAATAACATAATATCCTGCCGCGAGCAAAGTAATTCCTAGTATAAAAGGGAAAAACCAGGCGTTTTTATGTAAAGAAGCCATTGTATCTGATTTTTATAGTAAATTGTGTATTAATTTTAAGCAGAAGGCCAGAATAGTGTGTAAATATTTAAGAAGCAAGTAATCTTAATAATTTCACACAAATAGATTTGTAAAGCAGGCAGATTTTGTCTGCTCTTGCAAAAATAAGCGACTCTAATCAATAAGTGTAAAGTGTATGGTTATGCAACAATTTAACGGCGTTACTCCACAAAATCTTACAATTGATTGGTTATCATATTGCATTGTGAAAGGGAGTGAGTGCAGATTTTATTTGTCACATGCAACTCCGTCGGACTCGTGTATTCAACTTTGTCTAGTTCTATAATTTATAAAAAAATATGTGGAAATACGATTTATGCAATATGTAGATCAATATGTAATTAGACATAGCTTTACGTTTAGACAATCCATAAAATTGGAATACGTATGATAATCTCATATGCGAATGTCTAGACCTTTTCTGGCGGTTCCGATCAATTTACTGTCAATCATTTCACCGAACGCTCATTTAGCAGACATCACATAGGGTTAGGGTTAAGCATTTGATTAGTTGCAGCGTGATGTCGGCTAAGTGAGCTGTCGGTGAAGTGATTGTCGGTGAAATTATACGGACCCCTTTTCTGGTCCATTACCGGTTTTTTTTAACAAAATTATGATAGCTGCGCAACATAACTTTGAAATAAGCTTATAGCATTTTAATCGGACTATTAGTAATAGTTAGAAATTAACAAGTGGTTCATTGTATTATTCTACTAACTTATTATTCTAAAAGTTCTTGAAATATATACCATTTGTTTAAATAGACGACTAGGGCTTTTTATATGTTTTGGGCCTCCATAAGATCTGATTGTTAGGAGACTTTGGACTACTACGTTGGCTTTATATATCTTGTACATCTATGGCCAGACCAATTTAATTCGGTGGTTTACGTTACATCCTTCTCACAAAAGGGGAGAGGGGGAGGCTGGAGGGAGTTTATTAAAATTTTTCTGCGATATTATGAAAGTTTTCCGAAATTTTCCGCACATATAGTGGGGGGGAAGGCAGAAGAGGGGGGGGGGTTACGTAAACCACCGAATTAAATTGGTCTGGCCTATCACTAAGCAAATGTCTTATTATACTTTTTTTATTTATAAAGTTATTTGTTTCTTTGTGCAGAAACAAGATTTGTTCACTTGATCCTCAAAGTTTTAAATAGTAATATTACGCAATTAATCACATGCAGTCCGGATATTTATCTGGTATTTGACCAGATGCCGATTGTATTACGATTAATTACGCAATACCACAATTCTTCAGGGGATAAATTTTTACTTCCTCATTTGTGAAATAATGACATAAATAAAAATTGTTTTCTCGATAGGATTAATGTAAACTGACAAATCATACTAACTAATAAAGTATACGTAGTAACAAATTCCAACTATGATGATCAATTTACAACATTTAACGTTAATATGCAGAGAGAAGTTGTAACCACAATATAATCTCGCATGTATATTAAACGATTACCATTTAGATAACCATACCTACTAAAGTAGGAAATATATAGTTAACCAAAAAGTCGAACTGTATTTAAAAGTTATTGTTCAATAGTAAGAGGTTATTTTTCTCTTTACTATCGCTCATTATGCAGTGACTCAGAATCTAAGGTAATGATTGATACTTGGTTTAATAGGTTAAATAGTAATGGCAATGTCAAGCTCTGCGGCTGAAGTAGTATTTTAAGAACCTTACTTGGTAGTAATTAAGCTTCGCGATTGAAATAGTGGTGCGGATATAGTAACAATGCAAAAGCCTTCGAAGGATGGGTTGCCCGGTTGTTGAACTTAGCGCATCTTTATCACTTCACGAGGTGACTACATAATCAATTCTCTTTGAATCTACACGAATCTCTCCTCAACGACATGTCCTTCGTATACTTAGACATTATACAGTAGTTTGATTAGAGATTATTAGTTTTTTTTAGGCGTATTAGTTTCAATACGTTAAGAGTGGGTTTATAACCGGTTAGTTTGAATAGTACTGTTTGCTTGGAGATGTAATATTTTAGTTATAGAGGTAGGACCTGTAACGATAGTGAACAGATTTCTATATGCTTTTCATTGATTTTAATAAAGTCATTTGTCATCTGATTGAGCAATAATAATTGCTTTCTTGATAGATTGAATTTTAAATTAAGATCTAGATCTGAGACACTGTTACGGGACCGGGTCTCTATTGTGTAACAATTTCATCTTTGATTTACAATTAGATAGTAATATGTAGTAATTAGTGCAGATGCAGTAAATATGCAATTAGTAAACAATCTGTTATGCAAAGAGGGGTGACAGTATAGTAATTAGTGCATGCGCATGAAGTATGTAGTCATTAAATAGTCATTAGTATTAGTAATCGTTTGAACAATGGTTGTAAAGGGAATGAGGTATAAAAGGGAAAAGAGAAAAGGGATAGTTAGTAGGTCTTTAGTCTTTTTGTCTCTTAGTTAGTTCTTCATTTAGTTCATTAGTTGGATAGTACTCTGGGAGTACCCCTGGACTTTAGGAATAATAAAGAAGGCTCATTTGTCAATTACTTACTTTCAGTATCTCATAAATAAAATAAATACTTGATTCTTCCCTTTAATGCTTATAGCCCTAAACTGAATTGGCTACATTGGTACAAAGTCTCTCCCTTGGCCATAACATTTATAGTGCCGATTGTGTGGATGAATAAAAGAAAAATCCTGTGTTGAACCGTTAAAATCGTGCGAATTCTGAACAAGAAAACAATAAATAAAGATCATTGTGTATTAAAATTGTAACAATAATTGAAAGAAACAAAAGCTGGGTTGGCTGGTGTTGAGAACATTTTAAATAATTCATAGTGTATTAAATAACCATTAAACAAAATACAGATCCGTTTAGTATTGAAATAAAAGCATAAAGATGATAAAGAAAACAAACAATAATTTGAACATATTTTTGTTTTAGTTTCTAGAAAATATGAACACTTGGGAATATCCAATGAATCAAATAAATAATACTGATAGGCAGCAAGGATATGCAGCCCTGATACAAAGTGTTGATAACCCTTTAGAAGAGCCTATTTTGGTGGATAATCTCAATCCTCTAATGGAACAAACTCATACTAACCTGTCTTGAAATCAACTTCTTTAGCATATGATGAATCTTATGACAAGACAACAAAGAATTCAATTCTAGACAAAAGAACATCATTTTGTAAACATACCAATCTTTTCAGATGACAATAAAGACCCTATAGAGTGGTTAGAAGCTATTAATAGGGCATTTCAAATTAATAATATTGTAGGAAATAGAAGACTTGTAGTAGTTGGCATTTATTTTTCTGGGCTTGTGGCATTTTGGTGAGAAGATCAAAAAATAAAAAGACTGGTCTACAATATTAGAATAATGAATATAATCATGACCAAAGCTTTGTGCATTAACTTTATACCAGTTTTTGTACACATGCTTTGATAACACAATGGAATACTAAACTTTTGACGAAAAAGCAATATATTGGAGCAACAGTGAACCAATATGCAACAAATATATTAGTTTTATTTTGAAGAGTGATGAAAGTGCTCTAATTTGTCTTTAACTCTTAGCCCATTCATACCTAGCACTAGGGTTGCTGGTGCAGTTATAATCTAATGGCGTGCCACTGGTGCACCACTAAAACTTTTTGGTGCATGGCGTGCCA